CGAAACTCTGGCAAACGGACGTTTTGACGATAAAAGACGAACAGTACAAAAGTGTTCATTGAAGGTCGCCCCATTGTAACATTGAAGATCCACAGACCCAGTTTATTCCTAGTGTAACTAAAGAATTAGAAAAAGTGCAGAAGATCAGATACAGATAGATTGATTCCGTCCAACTAGAGCATCGGTAAATAGGAGGGTTGGAGAAGTGACGAATCCAAGAATTGGAAAAGCGGTGCTGAATGAACGTTATTTGGGGGTGAACGATATGTATCTGATCTTTTTGCTCAGTTCCCGATTCTCCGACTCCGGATGGATATAGCGTGGTTCGCAACTGATGAAGGAGCGTGTCCGGCGGAAAGAGTTCGGCATTGCGCCGACTCTGTTCCTCACTCACCGGTGAAGCAGACAAACGGTGGAACAATAACTGGTGGCCAACTAATACTAACGATATAATACAGTCTCGTCACCGGCTTACTCAAACTGGCGGAAAACAACCTCGGGGCGGGCCAAACCTATATCGCACGTCCCTTCATCCGTAGAAAACCAGGTCTACCTTCTCTTTCACAAATTCCCTAATTTCCAAAATCCACCATACTCTGTAGTTTTCGGTGTTCCCCGACTCTGTGGCGTCGCGTTGTGCTAAGGAGGCTTACGGTTAATTGTTAACTACGGCTGCCTGAACGACTGAAAAATTTTGGAACTGTGAAGTATGCTGACGCACTTCGCACCCTGACTAATGACTGGAAAACTCTAAACTTCCGCTGTATTTCAACAACTCTCTATGGATGTGTTTTTGAAATATAATCATGGGAACGTAGTAGAACATTAACATCAATGTGCGCCACGGTCAAACATGAGAAGCAGGAAAGTCAGGGAATACATAGCGCAACCAACAAGAGAACGAGCTATTCTAAATCGGAAAAAGAAAAAGGAAGCACTGACATAGCGACTAAAATGAAAAAAGTGCTCAATTACTCTTGTCGTACGTGAGGTCGGTCAATGTAAAGTTGCCGTCAAATATGTCACATGTAGTGAACCTACGTAACACAACCGCAGACCGCCGGCGGTCTCCGTGAAATTTTGGAGTTCATAGCCCTGTGGCATGACGGATGTTGACGTTGCCACAGTTGAATCGAGATCCGGTAAATAAAAAGGATCGTAAGGCATCTGTTAGAAAGACGGTAAGGCACCCCTCCCCTGAGGGGTTTGGCCGCACTGGCGTAGCGTTGTTTGGTTAGCCCCTTAAGAGATGCCTAAACTCAAAGGCACGTTCCACGTCTAAAGTGATTAGATGCGCGGCTTAAATACTGACCACGAAATAGTAAATAACAGGCGATAAAGTGCACGTTTCACGTGGTGCCACTGGGAACTGCTCGTTCCTTGCGAACTGAGCCCATCGCGACCCCAGGCTAGTCCGAAAGTCTGGCGACGTTCGGAAGGCTCGTGTTGCAATGCTAAATGTTGGTACGATGACAAGGGTGCTCGTACGATCTGGCAGAAGCGCTAGAATGCGCCAGAAGGATCGATCTCTGCACAGTGCAGGGACGAAATGATCCGGTTGCCAGTACAGGTCGCGGCTTCAAAGCTGTTCTTGTGGTGGGCCGATCACTAAAAAAGGTTTATTCTGCTATGGCTCTCGGGGTTTTTAGGTGAAAAATTTTAC